GGAGGCTTTCGTGTTCTAGGCTGGTTCAATTTGTTCGTGACTGGCCAGCATTTGTTCAGTCTGTGTCTGCAGTTGCTTGGGCCGTACATGCTGAGCTGCAGTAGGTGGGGTGTTGAAGCTTGCTGTGGGATCTGTACTTTGTATAGTTCCTTCAAATATTGTCTATTGCATCTGAGTAGTCTTCCATCACTGTGCATTTTGATGATGTAACTACATGGTTCTGTGCATTTGTCCATCGTTATTGCTGGTTGTCATTTTCTTGAAGGACACTTTGCAGCCTATAATCAGTTCAGGAAGGTCTCTTGCATTTCTTTTGTAATATTGCTTTTGCTTTCTGTTGACACTCATTCATTCTCAGATCTGATAGTTTTTGATGTGTCAGTGTTCAATAAAATTGGACTCCTTTTTTTCCTATTGTCTCTGTTTGTGATGGCAATTGGTTGTCAAGTGGAGTTTTAGGCATAGAAGAGCCATTTGGTAGTCCATCCATTACTGTTTTGTTTTTTTCATAATGTTTTTCACTGTTTGGATCATTTGTTCAATAAAATCATTTGATTGTGGCTATCTTGGTCTGGATGTGATGTGTGTGAATTTCCACTCAGTGGCAAAATTGTAGAACTCATATGACATGAAATATCTGTCATTGTTTGTGTACAAGCGTTCTGGTATGCCATGAATGGCAAAAATAGCTTTGAAGTATTTGATGCAGTTTGTACTTGTGATGGCCTTCATTATCTTTGTAAATGGCATTTTGCTGCATTGGTCAGTGACAAGTAAAAGTTGTTGACCATTGAAGTTAGCTGCAAATATATTGGAATGGTCTGTGGTTGGGTGTCCTTTAATGATCATTGTCTATTTCTTTTTCTGCTGCTTGTTGCATAATCTCTCACATGACCATACTATTGTTTTAATGTCTTTGTTTATTTTTCTCCAATAAATACTATTTTTTGCTTTTAGTTGACACTAGCAGCATGGCCCGGTGTTGCTCGTGCTTGATTCAAAAATCGTACGACTCATACAGCAATTGCTATCACTTGACTATTTTTGCCCTTCCTTGCCTTTAAGTAGTGCCCTTTGCCATGCTGATGTTGCTACATGCCTTACTTCTTGCCTATCTCACACTGCAAATTTTTCTAAGCTCTATACTAAACATTAAATCTGTTATGAAAAAAGGACTAAACAAAATGAACACAAAACGATCAGCTTTAAAAAAGGACTCATAACTGGAAAAACCGAATGAAAAAAGAATGTTAACAACAAATATTTTTTCACACCTAAACCCAGTTCTGTGGAATCAGAATCAACGTTGAGTTTAAGCAAGTGAATGAGCCAATTGGAGTAAAGTGCCATGCAGATTTAAATTTTTCCCACTTGTGACGAATGCAGCTATTGATTTTTTTTGCATACTAGCATGCTAGTTAACATCCAATAGAATCTTCCTGCCTATTCATGGCAGCCAGCTATAGGCTCTCACTCTGGCCAGTACAAAATGGCTGCAAACTACATGAAAACTGTCATAGAAGCATGAAAAAATTGATTATTTTCACTATCAATGGGAGTTGAGAAATGCAAAGTCAGTCTTGGCCTTCCCGCTAACTTGGAGCATGTGCATGTAAATTTTGGTGCAGATCCATCAAAAATTGCGGCCGTGCATTCGTTACACACATCCTGCCTTTTATAGATAGAGATTTCTATTCCTTGATTTGCATCATGAATTCTTTGAAGGACATTGTTTTGCATACTTTTTGGCACGACTATGCATTCACCTTTAGTCATCAATCTGTCTTGTATTAATAGACATTCTTTCAGTGACCAGTAATTTCTTATAAGTTTGGGTGTATCTTTCACATCCTCTGCCTATTCATTTATTATCACTTGTTTTAACATTCTCAACTCTTCAGCTTCTCTAGCTTCTTGTAAGTCTATTTGCTTCTGCTTTGATATATCAACAATATTTATTGTTAGATCTATGTCAAGTTCTTCACTTTGTGTTGGCTGTACTCTTAATAAGTAATCTGGTATTATCATTTCTTTACCTGACTTATATATAATTTGAGTATTGTATGGTTGTAGCCTTAATAACATTCTTTGCAATCTTAGGAGCGTTTGTGCAGTGTTTTTGTTCTGTATATTTTCTAATGGTTTGTGGTCTGATTCAATTTGAAATTATTTTCCATTTATATATATGTGTGTGAAATCTTTCACAACCAAACACTACTGTAAGCAATTCTCTTTCTATGTTTGCTTATCTTGATTCTGCATCAGTCAGTTTTTTGCTAGCAAATGCAACAATTTTGCCATCATAGATTAATGTTGCACCTAGGCTTAACATGCTTGAATCTATTTGAATTACTATCTTTGCATTAAGTTTGAAGTAAGCTAGACAGAGGTTTTCATGAATACAATTTTTCAATTCTTGAAAAGCTTTTTTGTGTGTTTCATTCCATTGGTATTCAGTGTTATGTTATTTGTCTTATTTTGTATTTGTGTTTATTGAAAACTAGACCATATTTTCTGACTGTATCCATTGTCCGTCTCAAATTTTCTATCATGTTCTTTGAATGTTTTGCTGTATATGCAGATACCATCAGATATAACAACAGCTCCTTTACAATCGCTCAGTATTTGGTCCATTTTTTGTTAATATATGTCCTGTGACATTTTAAGACCAAAAGAGCATTTTAAATATCTATATCTGCCAAAAGGTGTAATGAAGCATGCAACTTCTGTTTATGATGATATCTTGGTTTCTTCTTAATACTACAATTAAAGGGCTACAACTCTCAAACATTTAATAGCTCCTGTTACACACTCAAGACTTCCAATTTGCTGAAAACTTTGGATGAGTTGCAGTCTGTAATAAGGTTATTGAAAGTTGGCATTGGGTATTTTTCTCTCTGAATGGCTTTGTTTGCTTTTCTTATGTCTACCAGTCTTCTTGGGAACTACTATCACTGAACTTACCCAGGGTGTGAACCCCATGACTTTCTTTATATCCAGTTGTTCTAGTCACTTTATCTCCATCATCACATCTTTCCATACATGAAATGGTATGCAAAATGAATGATATATAGCACTTGAGTGGTGTTTATGTTTAATAAATTTTATAACTTGGTATGGGGACCAGAGTTAGTGGATTTTATTCTAGTGTCTATAAACCAGATCTTTACTTTGAAGAATCCATGAATGAGAAGTGTCCTTGTGGATTCATATGCATAAATTCTGACTTTCTTTTTTTTAAGTTCCGATTTGCTACACACTGTAGTCTACTCCATGTTCATACTGGCACTAGTATCAACTAGGAAATTATTCAGTGTGCCATTTATGTAGATTGTAACTATTGAAGCTTTTGTTGTGATTGTTGGTGTCTCTCGGATTGAAAAGACAGGCTTGTCATTAGAAGGATAAGACACTCCTACTACATCACCTCTCCCTCTCAGAAAACCGTTTTAGGGAATTTGCCTTATTTTCTCATTTTACCTGGTAGACTGACAAACTCTCACAAAATGATTTAGTTTGTTGCAGTTGTTGTATTTTTTCTCCTTTAGCAGGAAAAGAATATGGGTCTATGCCCCACCACAATAGTGGCCAATTGTATTATGAAACTTGAAGTGAGTAGGAATGTTGGGGTTTGTCACTCCTGTTTCTTTCACTTCATTGACTGCTGCTACCTTGGGCAGTCATAGCTCTTGGTTTTCCTTTTCTATTTCTGTGACTCAGGCATCTGTGGTTTCCATATTCCTTGATTCATCTAGAAGCTGTTTTAGAGTGCAGTTTTTTGGCAGAGTTTTCCTTCTAATCCTGGAGGAAGAACAGCCCTGAGTGATCTGTGCAAGAATTTTGCTTTCAGCATTGTGAAACTTGCAGTTCGCAGACAGTGTTCATAGTCTGGTGTAGTATATATCCATACTCTTTTCTAGGCTTTGCAAGGTTTTGTTTAAATCTGAATGTTTTTTAGAGTGAATTATTCGAGGGTGTGGGATTTCTCCTATATTCCAGTGGCACCTCCATGCTGTTTATGAGCTGCCTTGTACCAATTCCCTTTTATTTGTTTGTAAAAAACAAACTTTGTCCTTAACATAATGAAGGAGCATTGCCTTTGTTGTTATATATATAATGTACATAACAGGTTCCCAAATTTTTCCACTCATTGGTGACACCTCATGCCTGTATTGTTTGTTGTTATATAATGCAAATAGTGGAAATGTGGAGAGGTTTACCATTCTGTTAAATTTCTTTCTTTTAATAAAAACTAATCCTTGTTTAAGAGGTTCTCATCATTGTCACCAAAATGTAGTGTTTTACAGCTTGTAAAAGACTAATATAGCAAAGATCTGTTAGGGATACCAAAAGAAAACATGAAAACCAGTTAAAGGCTTCTAACATGTTATCCGAAATCTACTGATTGATATATCTCATGCTTGTGCTATCTTTATCAAAAAACAACCTTCAATTCTGGTAGTCAATGATATCACTACATCACATGTGTGTTTATATGTTTGTATATGTGTACATGCAATAATTTCTCAAAGCAAACAGATACAACACTGGCAGAAGTGCTGAGCCATTCATTCTTTTTTTTCAATGGCTTCTATGCTAGAACTGTAATAATATGAAAATTATTGATATGACTTTGTTGCAATGTAAATACTAAGATTATTGTTTACACATTCAATAATTGTATAGTTTTATGTGATAAAAGCAAAGTTTTGAATTCACTGATTTTAATAACATACTCCAGGGCTTACAGCAGATAAATCTTCCAGTAAGTAAAAGTTCCAATTCAATTTTCATTTCAATCCCTCGACATATTTCTATAGTGCCAGCTGCAGTACTGATCATCCAACAAGAATATTGCACTAGATATAACTCAGCATTATACTATTTATAAGAATGAAAGAGATTCTGTAATTAATCAATACTACACAAAATGTTTCACTATTTTAATAAAACCTTATATTTGCAGTTTTATCACTGGAAGTTATGATCGCACATGCAAAATGTGGAATACTGCTTCAGGTGAAGAACTTCACACTTTCAATGGACATACAAATGTGGTTTATGCAATTGCTTTTAATAATCCTTTTGGGTAAGCAGAATTATTTTGAATACATATCTAAAAGAACAACATTCTGAGAAATATAAATGAAGATAGGCAGTTATACATACTTATATAAAGTGTGATTCCTCATCAGTGAATATACTCAGTACTAAAAGTAAACTAATTATGATTTAAAATGTACAATAATCTACAATATTTTTTTTTTATTTAAAAATTAATTTTAGTTTTACTCATGCTTTGTCTGACATGTTTGTTCTTTTACCATTATTAGCAAATGAAAGATTTTTCATTTTTGACTATAAAGAATTCTTGGCATTTCATTATGGTTCATTTTTTACGTAATTGAAAAACTAGGATTTTTTTTTAATTGTTTCAAGCCAAGTGGGGTGACTTTGCTACTAGGATGAAAGGGGTTACAGGGAGTGAAAGCGAATAAGATGTTACTGAGAAATTAGAAAAAGCCAATAAAGTAACAGGGTTCAGGAAGACAGAAGATAGCAATTGACATTGTATTTAAATTTTTGAAGATTGTAGCAAGGAATAGGAAGGGAGGTCCACAGGTAAGAAGTGCAAGAAAAGAAACTGTTACAATAGAAGTGTGTAGTGAACAGCCCCGTAGAAACAAGCGAGCCAGAGTGGCTTGCATCTGGTGTATAGGGAAAATAAGGGTCTTACCATAATACGTGACATCAGCAAGTTTGCTTCGTGAAAATAGCATTACTCTCCCATCCAGCCATTCTAGCAGTATGTGCAAGGATGAGGGTTTTTTGTACAGTTTGGAATGCTTCCACCAGTAGCAAGTCATGTGCTGATTGGTCGATCTGGAGGAGGCAATTTGCCTGTGTAACCGAGAATAACAGTGAAGAACGCTGATTGGCTGGTGAACCACAGTGTTGGCCTGATAAAAGAGTGCTGGAGCAGTATAAAGAGAGAAAAAAAAACGTTGGCTATACGTAGTGATGTGTGAAGAAAGCAAGGACGGTGAATTGAACCAGCGATATTTTGATTTGTACAAGTGACGTTGCAGCAATACAGACTTATTTAAACTACAAGATATTTCGGCCTTTTCTCTAATCATGGGGGACAGAAGTTTCGATATTAGAATGATACCTGAAAATGTGCAGTTGGTTTGTGAACTTTGTGAGATGAAGAAAGTTGAGCGGGTACTGCTACTGCGCTTGCAAGCCGGGGCTCTCTCTGTATGTCAGCAGCTGCCAAAGGAGCAGAGGTCAGATCCAGAGCAGATTAAGCAGGCCCTTATAACTGCATATGCGGTGGATTCATTCACTGCGTATGATCAGTTTATATCACAACAATTTTGGCCAGGGTAAATGGTAGACAAATTTTTTAGCAGAGTTGAAACAGTTAGCTTTGTTGGTTGGTGGCCAACTGCCTGAACGATGGATGATGTGTGCCTTCATTTCTGGACTGCCGCAACAAGTCAAGCAACTTCTCCGTGCATCATCCAGAATGGACACTATGACGTTGGACCAGATCCTGACTCATGCTCGGGCCGTTATGACCAATAGCAAAGAGCCAGATGAGTCAGTTGCGCCTTTAACTCAACAGACGAATATAGCAGCTCAACGGACGGGCGGCATTGTGTGCTTTAAGTGTTTTGGTCCCAACCACTTGGCAAAGGATTGCAGGCAAGGCTACTCAGAGAAGACAGCTACCCAGACCCGAAGATCCCGCCACGGGATACGGTGTTTTCGGTGCAACAAGGTTGGGCACATTTCCACAGAGTGCCAGGTAAATGGATCCGGGGAACAGACGTCAACGCTGGTCTTTTCTCCAAGCAACTAAAAAACACAGCACTACCTATCATTGAGGTGGCCGTAGACGGAAAGAAGTGCACGGCTCTGGTTGATTCTGGGTGCTCACGGATGTTGGTGAGCAAATGTGCATGTCGCAATTGACGACAGTAAGGCACTAAAATGCTGTGGACAGGGCAATATTGCGTTGAATGTTAGTCGTGTTATAAAATAAAATAAGACATATCTCGGCTGATTTACAGGCAAATACTCAAGAGCAAGAACCGGATGTGAACAGGATAAAGCCCGTCACAAAATGACCATTATCTTTCTTTACAAATGTTTCCAACACACGTGTTCTGGTCGAAAAATAAAATAATATTTAAAGTGCTCTATTTTTCGTCCAATAAAATGCTTCCCTCCTAATTATACTCGCTTCGTTTCTCGAGCCTGTTAAGCCATAAAAAACACTATAAAAGGGGTCACACGGAAGTTCAACAGGCAGTAACAGGGGGCCAGCGAACAGACCTGATGGTCAGGCGAAGCGATCAGCAGCAGGGGAGCGTCAACCACCGTCAACATGCGTGAACTACTATGAGAGATCGACTTAGATCCGAAATCTGGCTTATGAAGTTTACCACAAGGTAGCTGTCCCAAACCCACACGTACCTGTTGAAATAAACCACGTAAATCTATTTCTACTGTTGTCGTATTTCTTTCTTGCAACCATACGCTTGTCTATAACAGTCGTGTTCAACCTGTATACATTAATGCCCTAATTGTGGACAGACCACTACTTGAGTTCGATCATCTTCTTGGGATTGACGCAATTAAAGAATTAGGAAGAGTGCACATCAATTTCTCAGGAGAAGTTCAATTTTCTGAAGAAAGTAAGCCCCAATGTGCTGCTATTTCCATCATTGAACCCAACTTCAGTGTAGAGTTCGACCGTCATAACAAAGTATGGACAGCCTCATGGAAGTGGACCAATGGACAACTGCCTATAACCCTGAAGAATAGAGTGGCAGAATATTCAGTACCTGACTATGCACGGGACGAATATGAAAAGGAACTTCAGTCATGGCTGGATAATGGATGACTGTGACCATACCCCGAAGACGAACTTGGTCCACCTAAGTGTCTAATCCCATTAATGGCAGTGATACAAGAAAGCAAGTAAAAGGTCCGTACAGTACTGGATTACCATGAGTTGAATGGGTTTGCAGAACCATATACTGCTGACTCAGAGGTTTGTGCATAGAAGTTGTGAGAATGGCAAAGATTGGGGGCCGATGTATCTTTGTAGGACTTGCGGAGGACGTATCTGCAGATACATGTGGAGAAGGCACTGTGGCCCTATCAAACTGTCATAGTGAAGTGGCAAAGATACTGCCTCACCCAACTAGGTTTTGGTTTAAATGTGGCACCTCTCATTATAAAAGCCATAATTGACGCAGTATTATCGCAAGACAAAACCATTGCAAACGCCAGATCGGCATATGTTGATGACATTTATGTCAGCGAGAGTCTAATTCCTGTCGCACATGTGAGAGAGCTCCTGTCCAAGTACGGACCAGTGTGCAAGGAACCGACAAGATTAGAAGACAGAGCTAAGGTGCTGGGCTTACAGGTCTGGAGTGACAATGGTACTCTCCAATGGAGCGAGGTGGAGAGATCCCCGACATCCCTGTGAGGATAACTCACCTGTGCATATTCTTGTTAAGTGGAAAACTTGTGGGCCACTTTCCCGTTTGCGGCTGGGTAAGAGTGGCCACTGCATTTGTGAAACGACAAGCAAGCGCTCTTCTGGGATGATGAAGTTGAGAATGCCTCTATTAATTGCATGTTAGCCAACATAATAGCCAGAATACGCGAGGCCAATCCAGTAGGAGGAGACTGGTGTGTGAGTGGCTGCGAAATGAACGTATGGGTGGATGCGAGTTCCGTAGCCACAGGTATCATATTAGAGGTAGATGGAAACGTCATTAAGGATGCGTCGTGGCTGTGCCTGGCTGGAGATGCTAAGCACATCAATTTGGCCGAGCTAGACGCAACAATAAAGGGTGTCAAAATGGCAGGTGTCGACAGTACATCTTTTTACTGATTCAGCATGTGTTCATCAGTGGATTTCGAACACCTTAACTGGCAAGGCTTGAATAAATATGAAGGTGTCTGGGGAAATGCTAGTGCGGAGATGGTTGAACACACTTCACGAGCTTGTAGCTGAATATGGCTTGATGGTGGACATAATACTGGTCAAATCCAACATAAATCTGGCAGACCAGCTGACCAGGGTGCCAAAGAGGTGGTTAAACCTATGCAAGGAGGGAACGGAGCCAGTGCAGTCAGTATGCGCCACTGCAAAGACCAATGTGGATGCACACAATCTAGTAGTTGAGACACCAGGGAAAAAAGCTCATCAGAACAGTTACCATGAAAATATTTGTAGAAAAGACAGAGGTAAGCCACATTAGCATGGTGAGAAAGTAACTAAAGTCAAAATGCCAGGTCAGGATCAGTTACATTACAAATGCTTCTTTGAATTTTATCAAGAATCTTGAGATATACAGCAGGAGCACCAGACCAGTATTAAATGCATGGATGAATGAAGATTTATAAATGTGCAAAATGGATTCTGATGGGAAAAATTCTCTAGCATAACACAGTGAACCAACTTTCCTAGCAGCAGACATAGCAATTGATTCAATATAGTTGCTCCATTTCATGTCAGTGGAAAACATGAGCCCAAGAAGGTGTAAAGTGTTGCTCTCCTGTAGTTTAGTATCAGCTATGCCGATGGCAGGCAGGAAAAGTTCTCTATGGTGATTAAAAAAAAAAGCAATTTTGTTTGGAGGCATTAAAATTTACAAGTGATTTCTTGCCTGAGTTAACCACTGATTGGAGGTCCTTTTCATGAGCGGTTGCCAGGTTTACTTAGTAGCAAGTCTGACAGACATGACAAAGACAGGAGTAAATGGCTGTGTCATCTGCATAAATATCTATAAAATTCTTTCATTTTTCTCTAATCCATAAACTTATTGAAGTAATTTTAAGAATGGTATATCACAAGCATTCATCAGACAATATCTTAACTTTAATTTCCATCATCCATAGAATGTGAAGAAAGTGATCATCTTATGCATACAGTACCATGCAAAAAAATCATAAGTGGTGACCCAAACAGGAGAAGATCAGCATCAACATGAGAGAATGCATACCAACAAAAGAGGATCACCATCAAATGTACCCTTCAGAATAACAACTATCCTAAAAACATAACATCAGCTGCTGCAGGCAGAAATAGAAGTGTCAAGGAGGAGGACCAAAAATTTGCCAATCTGTTTTCTTAGGTCAAGAGCTTATTGGAAAAGATTCAGAACATCTATTGTCCATACAACATCAGGACAATATCCAGAAGCAGCTCAACCCTACAGCTTTTCTTCTGTGTTAGGTTTAATAACACAGAAGAAAAGATGACCAAGAACTGTGTGTATTCCATCCTTTGCATTTATGGCAAAAAATAGAAAGGTAAAACTAGCCACTCTTTGAAAGTAAAGTCATAATTAGGCACAATACAATAAAATCAAACATGGCTGATTATGTATGGAAGGACAAAGAATAGTCATCAACTCCTGTGTAATGAAGCAAAATTACTGGTCAGTGAAGAACACTGATGAGTCAGATGTGTGAAAGAATTAGAACATAGGCTAATCTGTGAAGACCTACTTAGTAAACTAGAAATAAATATGATGTGGAGGCCATTAATAGAGAGAGAGAGAGAGAGAGAGAAAATGGCAGCAAAAAGCCTCATCAGCAGTAGAAAAGAGAAGCCTCAGTGAGTGCAGCTAAGCATGACAATCAACAACAGCAGCTTGTCCCATGAAGTGTAATCCATTAGTACATGAAGTTGGTAAAATTGTGTGTGGAAATGAGACAGGCAATAACTGAGCTGTAACAAAATAAGAATTGGACAAGATATCCCTAGACATGGTAGGCAGAATGGGAACTATCTACTCCATAGATTAAATAAAAAGAATTTGAAATTCCCTGAAGGAACAAACACCTGATGAAGGCCAGAGAGCGCAACGGCTGAAATATTGTAACAACAAATATGAGAACAGTAGTCCACATGTTAACTCTTCATCCCAGAATTTCAGACACAAATACAAACTTAGTTCAGTATTTTCTGCAGTTTCATTAAAGTTTCCTAATACACTTTTTACCACTCAAAGTAACCATATTTGTCTATCTAATATATATATATATATATATATATATATATATATCTTATACTCATATTGCATAATATTCCTTCATAGATAGTCAGAGCTTATGCAAAATTGAATGGAAAAATTTGTAGCATCAATGAAAAAGCAGTTTTAAGACTGGTGAAGAGAAAAAAAAATAGGCATGTCAAAATGCCTATTTTTTTCTATTCACCAGTCTCTAAATTATGTCTTTTTCAGACTAAAATGTTTTAATTTTTAAGTAAAACGCTTTGGTTCTTGAAAAAACTATCAGCTTATATACAGTGAGGGGAAACAAATATTCATACACATCAAATTTTTAATTTATTGCCTTTCCAACTAATGAATAAACATACTTTTCATATAATTAACTATACACTGATACATAACTAAATATGCACAGAAAACTTAAAAAAAATTGATCTAATAGAAATAAATCCCATTTATCCATTTTAATGGGTAAAAAAATATTTTTCTGTTTTCTATACATATTTAGTTATGCATCTGTTTACAGTTAATAATATGAAAATATGTTTATTTATTAGTTGGAAATACAATAAATTAAGAATTAAGTATCAGAATACAGTAATTAACTAATGTAATAGTGCATAGTGTTTTTGCTAATTTATAACCTTTATTTTTAATTCAAGTTGTTATTGCTGATATATTCTTTATATTTCAGAGATAAAATTGCCACTGGATCTTTTGACAAAACATATAAATTATGGAGTGCAGACACAGGAAAATGTTTTCATACACATCGAGGACATTCAGCAGAAATTGTAAGTTTGACCTATTGTGAAAAACAACATTTTTAGCCATCAAGTTCATAATTTGTTGTGAATAATTGGTTATGGGACAAGATGCTGGTTCCAGTGCAACTTTTTTGTATTATCCTTAGCAAATGTAGAAACGTCTACAGTGAGCATAAATGCTTTTTTTGGCATTAGTTACTCAGGATCATCAATTAATCAACAGATGTATCACAAAGGTAAAATTAAAAATGAAGAGATTACATAAAACAGAATACTATAAATTTACTTTATTTTATATTATTTAGGTTTGAAAACAATATAAAAATTATAAAAATGAGTTATCAGATAGATAAAATAATGTGGAAACTAAAATAAAATACAATGCTCAGAAAATGAAATACTTTGAGTTTTTAGACAGTATCTGTTAGATGTATTTCCTCAAAAATGGCTCCAGCTGAATAGAAATATCTTCTAAGCCACTTCTGAAAACTCAACTGTACTGTGACACTATTACAAAAGTGCTGGTAAATTGGAAAAAAGGCTTTCAAAATAAACTAGAAAACAAGACATGTGCCATTTAGTTTAAGACCTGCTTTGCCAAACCCCACGTGGATTCTGCAGAGAGAACTTAGAATTTGGCCTTGTTCCATACTACCAAATACACCTGAATGGTCAGCCCAAAGAAATCACAGAGTGGAAGAAAGACTTCAGCCTTGTACCAGTTTATTGAGCATGGCTAGAGATAGTGTCATGGGACTTTAAAGGTGAAGGTGCTGAAAATCTGCATGTTGTGAATCTAGTGATTAGAACATTCATTATATGAACTTTTGATAAAGTTGTTGTGTTACACAGCCATCTCTTACTTTGTTCTTTGTGATGTCATTTCACCAAAACTAGTGGATCAGTGATGTTGAGTATACAACTTGGCCTTCACTCACCCTGTGATCTAAAACAAGCACAACATGGGCAGGGTGGGAATTGAAGATCAAGTAACCAACTCCAAGGCTGGCTGTAAGAATTGACCACAAACTTGCCCAGTGACTGAGGATGGGATTTTGACATAATAGTACCAGATAAAAGAAACCACATCACTTGAGGGTTTCAACGACAACATCTGAAATGGAGTGGTACAATGAACCAACTATTTTTCCAGCATCTTTAGCAATAGATTGGATATATGAGTTCCACTTGAGGTCTGGAGAAAGTGTGAGTCCCAATAGATGTTCAAGGCAAAGAGTCTCCTTGAGAGAAGACCCATCCATCATGATAGGTGAAAGTTCAGAGTCTGCTTGATGGTGGTGGTTGGTGATGGTTCATTACTATTTTGGTTGTGGACATATTGAATTTTACAAGCCAGTCCTTGCCCTATGAACCACATGGGCTAGGCTGGAGGAGAGATGCAATGCTAGGTTCTGGTCATCCAGATTTCTGGAGTTACACCTATTATCTGTTGTGTCATCTGTATAGATATTCTCTAAGGATTGGAGTATGTTTTTAGGTAGATCATTAATATAGAGCAGAAAGATGGTAGGACCAAGAAGAGAACTCTGAGGACATTTGTGGCAGGGGCGATATCACCCCGGAAATAATTATAACAATAATAAAGGAGGATATGCTGTAAAACAGAAAACACCAAGTGAAGGAGAGGCTTTTCAAATAACCAAGATGTTAATATGCTATAAAGACTTTGAAATGCAAATGTTACAGAAAGTTAATTTAGAACACAAAATATAATCTTTTTGTAAGTGTACAAAGGATATCAGATTACTAATAGAAATTTACTGGAACAATAATAATTTGGAACTTTTAAAAAAAATGTAGAGTTAAGTAATAGCAACAGACAGTTCTCGACTGTAATTGAAGTTTAGTCTGACTGATTTATATAACAGCCTGGGAGATTCCACTCTGTTACAGGCAAGTCTACTCTGTAAGTTCTGATTGGCTGATGATTCCAGTGTGGATATTGTGCTGGAGCACAATATCCACCCTGTTACTTTATTCATGAGGGGGACATGCATTGAATTACAACCCTGTTTATTTTTGTCGGCCAACTGGATGCTAGTTGGAAACCTCCTTGCGAAGGTGAGTCTCACACTCTTGATTGTTCCAATTTTGACACTATAAGAATCGAAGTTAAAATTAAGGATGTTTTGACCTAGAATTTATTTTTAAAACAAGAATTTATGTAGTTTACAAAGAGTGGAAGAATAATTAATAGCGAGGTGATAAACAATAGCATCTTGTTGTGAACCTTGGAAACCAATCGATGAAGAAGTAAATTGTTTATTCTCGGAAGAGTGAAGTTGTACTTTGGTAGTATATCAGTATGTTTGCACTAGAAAAACAGATACGTCACCAGTCTGGGACACATGTAGCTGGTTCTTTTAATAAAACCGAGTGGAGAGATGTCAGAGATTGAAAAGGAAGCGTCCACTGTGTGTTCCTGAAGCTGAGGGCGAAGAAGCAAAATACCGCCACTAACATCTAAGTACCACTACTCCTGCTACTACTACTACTATTACTACTACTGAGAATGCGAACATTGAAGGTTGTAGTAGTTGCGCTAAGAACAGACCAAAAAGGGTTAAAACGAAGACAACATCTCTCCTTTCATGAAATTATTCGAAGTATTTGTGTTTGTTTGGTTATTGTTCATATACAAGAAACATTCAACCTTGTGCAACAAGAATTTTTTTATGTGTGTGTGTTTGCTTTTATGTATATAAAAAAAACTACTGCCCTTTCAAAATTGAATCAACTTGGTTATATTTATTTTTCTGTTAACCCAATTCTCACCTGACAAATTTGAAGGTGGACCAATGAAGAGCTTCCGGATTTCTATGATCTGATAACCACTCTCCAGGATCAAAACAATCACAACATGGCTGGAGGGTGGCTTCGAATTGACATTGGGAACCGGAGACTTGTGTCTACCCTGTAATACTGGACCAATGGCCAGTCTTGTGGGGTGAGGATACAGTGTTACACATTGATCTCATGGGCTTTTGATGACTAGTTGTTAAAAACAACATTTAAAGACATACCTGTTAGGAAGGACTTGATAATTGAGAAAATCCTTCCAGAGATTCCATAACTGGAGAGTTTATGTAGCAGCCCCCAATAACATACCATGTTGATATATCTCGGGTGATGGTCCTCGTAATGAATTTATTGTCTATTGCTTCTTGTAATGAACTGCTACTTATAATAGGTGGAGAAGAAAAGTCCAAGATACCAATTAATAGAATTTTTTTTAAATTTGTAAATAACAGAAATATCTTTTTAAAATATATAGCTATAGATATAAGCAGAACATGCTAGCCCCTGTGTTAAAAAAGCAATTTTTACTATAGTATCGGCTTCCTCTTAAAAATTGCATAATTTTTATAGGTATTATTTGAAAAAGAAAATGACCTTGATACATTTAGGATACTGGTTGTGTCAACATTTTTTATTTATTCCTTTTTTCAAGAAGTTACATGTTATACTAATCTTGCTTGAAATATTTTCACTTTAAGATTGAAGACATCACTATGTCAAAAATTTCATATTTTAATGGTTTTCTGAATATTAAAACTGAAACATTTAAGCTTATTAAGACATTTTCTTGGTAAAAGGTTACTGCATTTTATAAATTTTACCATAAATCACTTGATTTATTTTAATGTTGATTCTTTTTCCACCCAAGGCATGTTTGAATTTTTGGTGTATGAGGATCAACTGAAAAGTTTGTAGGCTAACCAGGGTACTCCCATGAAATATAACTAAATGAGGTTTATTTTTCAACATAGTCCTCCTTTTAGTTCACACAGTTCCTCCATTAGTATTACAGTGCTTGAATCCCATTGGTGAAAGATCTTTCATCCTGCTGGTCAAAAAAGTCAATAGCGGCAGATATGATGTCATCATCACTGCAATACTGGTTCCCTGTAAAGTGTTTTTTAATGTTGGAAAACAGATGATAGATGAGGCCAAATCAGGAGAATAAGGAGGAGGATCAACCAGTTCAAAGCCACAGTCATACACTGCTGCCATTGAAACCAAAGACTTGTATTCTGGAGAATTGTCCTGGTGTAACAAGTCACTTTTTGTCAGTTTTCCTGGACATTTGGTCTGGAAAACCTTTTGTAACTCTGTCAGCAGGTTGGCATAGTACTCTCTATTGGTGGTGTGGCACTTTTGAAGATAGTCAATATACACAATGCCTTTTACACCTAAAAAAATTGAGGCCATCATCTTCTCTTCAGACCTTAGTCTTCTTTGGAGCAAGTGAAGAGGGGTATTTCAACTGCATGGATTGTCTCTGGTTCAAAGTGATGAATTCAATACTCATCTTGGGTTAAGAAACATTCAAGGAAACCATCTTAATCTGCTTCAATGCCAGATTTTCCCATGATGTGATCAGCATATGTGCTTTTGATCAGATGTCAGAAAATGTGGCATCCACCAAGCTGAAGCCTTTCTCATGCCAAGTTCCTTGTGCAGAATAGCAATGGTTATTTATAGTCAATTGCCTATTATTCATCACCATGTGGTGAACACAATCAATATTATCCTTGGTAGTGGCATTTGCAGTACATCCAGGCCTTGGGTCATCTTCAAGACTCTCTCTTCCCTCCTAAATTCAGCTGCCCACTTTTGCACTACTGATTAAGCTGGAGTGTCATCTCCTAATGTATAGCAGCCATGAATTTCCTTGGGGGCTAAATCCTTTTTCTACAGATACTTGATAACACCATGATACCAAATTTTGTCCATTTTCAAGAGAAGTTGCTCCTAGTTACTTCTGAAGTCTTTCAACAGTCAGATGTTCGTTTAACAGGAAGAAAACAATACAGATACTAATAAGAAGAGTTGAAATAAATTGTGCAAGATTTCACAGGTCTAGCATCACTACTTCATAGTCAGCCTATGAACTTTTCAGCCCATTCTTGTAAGTCTTTGATTGCTGGAGTTATATGGCACTTTTTTTCTTTTGCTATCTACTCTATTAGATTACAGAGAATATTTTCCTAAATTTTTAAAATTACTGAGTACTTAAAAATTATATAAAACAAGTGCACATGTCATTTTCTTAAATTATGTTTTACAGATAAAGTCTCCATAGAACATTATACCTGTCATCAGGTTGTCAACACTTCAAAATAGCTATTGTCAGGTTAAAAACACAGCTACTGTCATTTTAAAAAATGCATTTCTGTGATATTTTAAAGTAAATAATATTTGTTTCAAATCAGATTAATTATACTATTAGCTAATATTCCTCAAATAAAGTTTCAGAAAAGTATATTTCATTTTTGGAAGATTTTTTTCATGAAGAGAATTACATTGCAATGAAAGACAACTAAAAAGGGTACTAGTCAGCTATTTTAGTGAAATGAAAAACTCCTTCCAGTCAAATTACTTTTCAAAATACAGCATGTAGTAGAATTGTTTGAGACAATATATATTGCTTATCAGTAAGCTTTAATAAACTTGGTATTTACCAAAGTCCTCCCCACAAGGTGGGATGTGGCACAAGGCCAGTTTTTAACATGGGACTTTCTGAGTACATACACTTGGGCAAAAATTCCTCATAGACTCCACATACCACAGGGTTGGGTGGCTGTCCACCTACCCAGATGAGACTCTGCCCACAGGCATAGGCTTGTCTGAGTGCCTCTCCAAGGCAAAGAGTCTGACAAGCTAAGAGCTTTTATAAACTCTTGAATATCAGTAGAGTTCTCCTGAATATATGTGTTCAGGACAAAGATCCATTAATGGGGGAGAAAATAGATCATATCACATTCTCACCTGCCTTATCCTTACAAAAATCCCTGAATCGAGCAGGCATCTTTTGCCATCAATGAGGCTGTGGTGGATTGCCAAGAGCATGATGATATTCTTCCTCTTTCTTGCTAGAACTGGATTTAATCCTGCTGAGTTTTCATAATCTTCTATGTGTGGCTTTCTTGTCCTCTGAAGTATCAGTAGATGGGTGGGCTCTATTCTTTAAAACCCATTCATCACCACTTGAGGAACCAGAGCTCAAGACTTTCTCATAATCTTCATAAGGAGACCATGTTTCTGTTTCTTCATAGTCAGTTGAAATCTCCTGAGGACAGGCCTCGCTTAGGCTCATGGGTCCTGATTCATCCACTGTGAGACTGTGTCTTCCCATCCATCAGAATAATGGACATGCACATACTGGGGGTTGGCATCTAGAAACTCCACTTGATCCATCAGTGGTTCATTTTTATTCAGTTGCATGTGTCTTTTTAGTGAGAGCCAAGATGGTAAGGATGCTCACTTTTTCTAGGAAACAGGAGGAATCATTTGTGGGGTGTTACATTAGTGGTGGTGCATAGCAGCATTTTAATTGCATGCAGGACTTCTGGTAATAGTTGCTACCACTTTATCAGCAGCTGCTTGTTGAACAGATTTCCAAATTATTCCATTATACCTCTTGCACTGGCTATTACCTTGAAGGTTATTTTACTTACGGCTACTCCATTCTCTTGTAGGAATTGCTGTACATTTGGACATAAATGAAGCCCCTCTGTCCAAATGAATATATGCAGATAACCTCGAAGATGGTAAAAACTGAGCAAAATTGCTTGTATGACCATTGTAGAGGGTACATCGAGGCTGGGTATTGTGAAAGGAAATCACAAATATTCGTCAATTATTGTCGAATTATATTATTATGTTATTACATTTGTTAGAAGTTTTTGACAGAAGCGTTCCTTTAGAATCCAATGCAATTCATAGGGTTGTGTGGCTTTTATGGCCTTGATGGTGTTAGGACAGTAAGACACAGGTTTATTTTCAGTGCAAGTTTTACACAATTTGGTGATTTTTTTTCACATCCTCTACTGAGTAGAGAAGGTTTTTGATCTTCATCATATGGACTATACGTGTAACACCATGCAGGGTGGCACAACTCTCTATGTAGTTTCTTTAACTCTTCTTTGCAAGCAGCCAAGCTTTATACAAAAAAGAGGACATTCACAGCTGCATTTTCTTTGTGTTTCATTGAATGAGTAAAACAAGAGTTCCATTATCCACAGCTGGCATTTCTTATTTTTAATTTTGCTTGTTGTTTTAGGGTTAAACATGAATGAGACTGATTTTTAGTCTGTAAATAGTTTAAAATGTTGCCGATCAAATAATGCCTCCATATTCTTATTCGACAATAGCATAGGCTTTTTTCTCTATTGCAGAATGCCTACATTCTGATTTAGACAGGGTTTTGAAGAAAAAGACTATGGGTCTCTCTGACTGTCTTAAAAAGGTAGCTATGGCGCATTCTGAAGTGTCTGTCTATACTACCAGAAGTAGTGTATGATCTGGTGTAGTAATGGTTGCTTTAGTTTAGCTTATTAGAACTTTGGTCACAGTACATACTCAAGAAATTCATGAAAGTTATTCTCCAGTGATGATATTCCAGTTTGGTGTCAGATGCATTGGGGATCAATAAGTTTCTCTGGACAGAGTAAATTAACCATTTTCAAAATGGTTAACAATGAGAATTTCTTAAATTGTAATAGAATTGTTTGAGACATACATTGCTTATCAGTAAGCTTTAATAAAGTCGATATTTACCTCCCAACAAGGCAGGATGTGGCATAAGGCCTGTTTTTAAAATGGGGCTTTCCAAGCATGTACGCTAGGAAAACAATTCCCCATAGATCCTACATACATGGGGTTGGGTGGCTGTCTGTTTTTCCCTAGATGAGATTCTACCTATAGGGATAGCCTAGTCTGAGTTCCTCTCTGCCCAGAAGCAGAGTGTCCAAGAGTTTTTGCATATCAGCAGAGTTCTCTTGAATTTCAGGATAGATCCATTAATGGGGGAGATGGATCATACCACATAGCAAAGTATTTTCCTTATTATTTAAACTAAAATAAAAGCTTCAAGAAAGATTTTTCAGTTTTAAAAATTCATTTTAAACCTTAGGTATCATTTTTTTTTTCTTTTGGAGGTACCTAATATAAAGCAATATAATTACAATAATAACCCATTTAAAGCAATTTTACATGTACTAATGCTCCTTACCATAGAAATGATGATGCAGATATGTTCTGTAGTCTTCTGCTAATTGGATTGCTAATCCCACAGTAAAACCCCTGAGTTGGATTATAGATCATAAAAATAAAATTATCATACTACTTTCATTACTGAAATATTCATTGAAAATATGCATAAAATAGTACATATTGAAACTAAAATTTAATAGTGAAAAACAATTTTTAAAATGTCAATAATTTTAAATTTGTCTGAATCTTAATATATTCAATGTAGTTTAGGACTTTAATTAATCTTTTAAACACACTTTCTGTAGAAAATTCAAGTTTATTGAAGTCAGTATATTGAATTTATCATGTTTTGTTACAAAGAGGTTTCTTTTGGCCATTTTAGTGTCCATTTAAGAAAGTTATTAATATTTATATCCTTTGTCCCATTTCATTTATTTTAGTATTATTTACTAATATTTTTGGCATTAATTTATAAGTTTAAAATAAAAGCTAATCATAAAATATATTTTCAAATTGAAGTCTATATTAACAAACTGATAAATGACTGTTTCTTTGCTTTGCTTGTTTCTAGGTGTGCCTTAGTTTTAATCCTCAGAGTACTCTGGTTGCAACTGGTAGCATGGATTCAACAGCTAAATTATGGGATGTACAAACTGGAACTGATTTATGTACATTTTTAGTAAGTCAAACACTTTTGTCAATAATGTTTTGCAGAAACATTCATGGTAAAGAAAATGAGAAAGTTATGTGTAAGTAGATATTATTGGTATAAAATTAGTGTGTTGTCATGGAGATATCAAATATTTTAAAATGAGTAACAAAATTATGAAACTCTCCCAACTTTTGAGATATTTACCCGTAAATTTTTTTTTTTTGAATATGCAATTTATTTTTACATTATACAAATTATTATAAAAGCTGAAAAATCACAACGCAAGAGACATCACAATATTTTAGCGTTTGTTTACTCGAGGTATACAACTTTTCCAAGTTAAATATTTTCTCTTAGCTTTATTCTTAAAGTTATATAAATTTGATCTCTTTTATGATAAATTTGTTATAGCATACCTTAATAAATTTGAAAATTAATGTTGTGTCAGAATAAAGTTGTTTATTTTTTAAATTTTAAATAATTTTCTAGGGCCATTTTGCTGAAATCATCTCAGTTTCATTCAACTCTACAGGAACACAGCTGATTACTGGATCATTTGATCACACAGTTTCTTTATGGGATGTCAACAGTGGAAAGTAAGTAAAGATATGTTTGTTTGAAGTTTTTACTTACTCACATTTGAAAAATGGAAGCAGAGAATCATAATTTCATTACAGGGCTGGATGCAAGATTAACTTGCATAATAAATTTCATTTAAGCAAATATTAAAAGTTTATTTTTGTTTAGAGGTGATGGTTGTCTCACTTGAGAGAATATTTTTATCAGAACTGCATCATTACTTATACTTTGTTGCAATTAGATCTCTTTCTGATTCATTCTGCATGCTTGTCAGATGTAAACGCCACAAAGGCAGAGAACAAAATAAAAAATTGTTTTCTGTGTATAGGCTCCATGCATCACATCCAGTCTACGAAGCAAGCTCCAGCAGTGGCCAATTTCGAACATCCTGCCAGAAAAACAGGTGCCCCTGAAAACTACCAGACCTGCTTAAAAGCAGGACTATGAAAATCACCAAGACAGTTGCAGCATGATGGGCCACCAGCTGGCATGCAGAATGCTGCTGTTGCCACTGCTGTTGTCATTGTCACTGCTGCTTCTCAGCATGACTGCTCCTCTGACTGACCATTGCTGTCTGACTTCAGCATGACAACACCTTGGCAACCCACCACTGAACCTCGGCAAAGTCAGAAAGTCAGATTTGTGACTTCTCCCGGCTCTTAACACTTGCATCCTCTGCATTGGCAAGGTCAGATTTGTGACTTCTGACTATTCACATTTGCACCCTTGTATCATCATTGTCAGCTTCATAGCTTTGCTAACCACTCTAGGACAACACCTTGGCAATCCACCATAACCAACATGTACACCAAGCATATCCTGTGAACTTGGCCAGGCTAACACAAAGGATAGCTCAACTCCTGGCCTTTCTCTTCTCACCATCCTGACAATACACAATGCAATATTTGTACAACACCATGTATATTAACAATAAATGTTGTTCAAGTTTTGATCCTCATTATTCCTTTCTCTCACAACCAAACACTTAATATAACATCACTACTCAGAACAGGTTTACTCTCATTTCAAACCACAATCTCTATTGTGTTAAGTGCTCTTTGTGAGTACCTTTTTAGTAAAATCAAAAAAAAAAGAAAAAAATTAAAATTATTTAAACTTATAAATGGAGGGGTAATTTCAGTAGGTTAGAATTTTTTATCATTACATTGCCATTCTACATTCATCATTTTCTACATTGCCATTATATATATAAAAGCATCTCATGTGAGATTATAGTTCATAAATATACATTCTATTCTAACTGAGACAATAATTATAAAATTAGGTTACAGTTCAAAGTTCATCTAAGTAGCTGTTCAAAATTTAGTCTGGCTTAAAACTGATAATTAGATAAAATTGTATCTGTCGATATTTCTGAGATGTTGTATTGTAATTATTTACATTATTTACAATTGTTCAGACAGGTAGATGAAATAAAGGGTTCAGTTTGAAATTCCAATCACCTGAAGAAGGCTGGAGCATATCATGGCTGAAATGTTGTGAACATGACAATGAATATGAGGACAACAGTCTGAACAATGTAAATAATGTAGATAAAATTGTATACACTGAAACAAAATTATTGTTACAGTTATATTGTTGTTCAATAGAAAAAATTATAATGCTATCATTAGTGTTAAATATATCAGATCATAATTATACTGATTATGATCTATTTTAGTAAAAGGTAAACTGAAGCCTATTAGCAAATTTTTAAAGTTAATATGTTTGATAATTACTTTTCTTTCTACTTTCAGACGTATTCATAAATTGACTGGTCATAATGCTGAAGTGAGTAGCACACAATTCAATTGGGATTGTTCTCTTATTGTGTCAGGATCTATGGACAAAACTTGTAAAATATGGGATACTGCTTCAGGTAAAGAGTTCCATATTAGTATTTTAAAAATAAAAGCTAAATAGGCTAACTACATTATACTTTAAAAACTCTTTTAAAAACATCCCCAGGTGGCAGCATTTGTTTTATTTGAGAATATTTTGTAATGTTCAATAATATTTATTTCTTTGGTTAACAATGAAATAATTAGTAAAAAGTAATTTTTACCCAATCAATCAATTCTTTTTAAACTAATTAATCAAATATTTTTAACCAATATCTTTTAATAATTGAATTTGTGTGCTTTGGAGAGTTACTGAACTGGCTTAATTAATTTAAATGATTGGTTTACATACATTTTTATAGAATAATTTGATTTGTATACTTTAGAGTACTGTTTCAACTTTTTACCTTGTGGAATCCTTGAAATAGTTTTCATGTCTCAGGGAACTCCTGCATAAAAATTATTATATACCATTATTAATATCTCACTTTTTATTATAAGCAAGGCTTTTCCAGCAATATGCTATATGTGTATAGTAAAATTACAAATATAAATCAAACAAAAATTATTTAAAAATTCATTAACCTATTTATCACTGATTCTTGTGTAAACCCTAATGCTCTCTTACAGAACACCAGTTGATAAACACCGCTTTAAAGAGTTATTAAATGATTGTTGCACATACATTTTTACACTATGTATGCTTCTTGTGGATATGCAGGTAGTATAATGATTATTTGTGTAGAAAATTGAATCAGCAAAACCTGTTCAAATTGCATCTAAGGCTGTTTAGTTTACTTCACATCAATAGTTTGTCTTAGGAAAGACATGAATCTAACTCTTCTATCTCCACTTATAGTGGAGCTGGGTTCTCTAGCTTTGCTATTTTCAACTGATTTAGAGAAAAATCTTTCCCAAAAATCAGTCATTGCAATTGACACAGAGAAATGGAACTGTGGAGAGCCATAATTGCTTCTTCCCTGAAGAAGTATGGTATTTTAAAAAAATAATATTCTAAAATACATTTTTATTTTAAAACACACTCAAGATTATAATAGCAAGTGCAAATCAAAATTTTCAATGCTTTTGTAAGCATAAAATATTAAAACAATATTGTTGCCTAATTTAACATGAAGTCAACCTGAAAACTGTTTCTCTGTTAATTTCACTCAATTCACATTAGTAACTTAGATTATGTTCTACATGATATTTTTTTCTCAAATAACAAAAATGAATTCTAACAGTTTTTATTTATTCAAGTTACTTTTGATTTGGTATGTAGCACTAAGATAATTAGAAACAATAAAAAATAAGTAAAACAAGTGCTTTGTAATGATAACATATTATTGCAATAATACTTTTAAATTAATGTAGATATAAATACATTTTGATTTTATATACAATCAAATAATTTAAATGTCATTAATCCCTATCGATTTTATGAGCCAATTTGAGTCAAATATTATAAAATTACTATATTGGAGAATGATATATAAATTTCTATATATCAGAACAACTGGGTAAATTTGCATCCAGGTTCTTACAGGTGTTACATAGAATTATTTCCATGTTGTCATTCAGTTACCCAAAATGATTATATCTTGACTTGGATCTGTCTTATTGGGAGATTTGAATTTAAAAATCAAAATAATTGTATATATGTTTCATTTGTATTACAGTTTAAAGTAATAACTAATAATAATCACAGAAATGACTACTGATGAATTATTTGTACTTTTGCTTGAGTGATAATTTTACAAATTTGATCTAAGCTTCTAATTACATCTGCTTTTCGTTTTTTTAGGACAATGTATAGCAACTCTAAAGGACCATGAAGATGAAATACTTGATGTATGTTTTGACTATACTGGCCAGTATTTGTTGACGGCTTCAGCAGATGGAACTGCTCATGTCTATAATGCTCCAACACATGTTTTACGCTGTAAACTAGAAGGACATGTTGGTGAAATTTCTAAAGTATGTATATCTCTTTTCTGGAAATTTGTTTTTATCACTAATCCATTTTAATGTGCATGGATTATGAATATTTGTTAACCTTTTAAAGTGAAAAGATTATTACAAACTTCTGAAAACTGTATAAGTTTGTTGTAATCCTTTGTAATAAAAAAAAAATGATATCCACATTGAATTCATAAGTACTTGTTCCTTAAATAAAGTACACTTTTGTCAGATTGAAATCATTTATATAATGTATGCTTCTTTGACTAATAGCCAATAGACACATTTGATCAATAAAACTTTTGATGGGTGGAATGCCGAGAGTCGAACGGGGCCAAGGAGTAGTAGGCGAAGGAGAGAGAGAGAAAGGAAAGTTTCCAACTATCGTCAAGTTGGCAGACAAAAAAAAAAGGGAGCATAATTTAATACGCAGCCCGGTGATCGATGTTCCTGGCCTCCGGCCAGGAGCCTGCATATCCGACCGTTTCAGTTGCCGAGGTATTTACCCGATTCCCACAGGGTCAGGATGTGACACAAGGTCGGTTTAACATGGGAGACCCGAGTGTTTCCACTCAAAGGGCCAAAAGGTCCAAAACTGGTCTTAGCATGTCCAAGCTGGTCAGAGCCTAGTCAACGCTGGTCATGGCTTGTCTTAGCTAGTCCAGGCCGAAGCCAGTCCAAACTAGTCGTAGCCGTGATCGAATCTCAGCAAAAGGCCGAGAAACGATCCTTATTTGTCAAAACTGGGTGAAATCCGCCAAAGCGGAAGTGGACGACCGAGATTTATTTTGTAAAAATACAAAATTGTGGCACAAGGCCGAAAAAGGGGAGGGGATAAAAGGCTGGTCTTCACTAATTATCTTATACCTAGCTAATTTGATTCACGACCCATTCAGACATTACAATTTACTCATTCACCATAAGAACTCGGCCGTCACCAATCAATCCTCCATGCACCATAATACCACATCCACTCTAGGGAGACCTACAAAACACGCCCCGTGTCATAGTAATTTAATGATCCTAACACATATGTACAAAATTCTACGATGAAAAAATGAGAGTGGGGGAGGATGAACCCAATAACGAACTAAAATATTAACATAAATGAAATTAAACGTTAACTGGTAATAGGGCCCGTCCAACCCTCAAAAGGCAGGGAGACCACTGTATTCTGCCCATTGGAACAAAATCAAGCAGCTCTCTCGCTAAGGGAGTGGGAAAGGTGATAAAAAATCATACGGGCATGGGTAAGTATAAAGCTGACCCAGTCGAGATAGAAAGTGGGCGCCAAAAAACTAACTGGGGAGGTTGGGAATCTCAGGCTGGATCATAACTAAAGATGTGGCCGGGGGGCAGGCCAGGAACAACACTTACTCGCATTAACTAGGTATACCAAAGCTTGACTCACCTAACCAAGGGGAGGGCACCACAGGAAGCCACCCCGATGTAACGTAGGCTTGACCTAAAAGAGAAAATCAAGGATAGCCCCGTTCATACGAACCAAGCTCGCCTCGGTCACCCACCTTTCGCTGAAGACTGTCGAATACAAGCGTTTTCTATCAGTTCTAATCTTCATTATGAGCTGATGAGACGTGAATTTAGTGAGAAGTCACTGTCTTGTGGTAAGGGAGACCAGCAAGAGAATTGGGTAACCTAAACAGTAAATCCTCTATAAAAAAATAAGTCGAGGTTAGCTAAAGGGAACTAAGGCCTAAAAATGTCTAGAAGTATATTACAACTAGGTTTGTAATATAAGTAAACAGAAAAGGTAACTTGCTAGTCTCTACCGCAGGTTTACAGCGTATAGGGAGCACGACCGAGAGGTCAAGGTCGAAATGACCTGTTCTCTTATTTTAAGGAGCGAAGGAAGAGGTAACTCCGACAACCTGTTCCTTTTACACTACACATTTTAAAACAGAAATTAAAAAATATTTTAATCACTTTAAAATATATAATCTTAAGTGTATTCGCTAATAAAACCATAAAGATACTTGTCAGTAAAAATAAAATGAATTAATTTTCCTTGTTTATAAGAATTTTATAAGCAGAACACTAACAAACACCCATCAAACACTAGTGGCTAAAAAATGAATAATTTTTAATTTGGGTTTTAAAAAAAAATGACATGCAGTTTTGAAAGTATATACATTTTAAAACCGAGATTAAAACTTACTTTATTTTTTTTAATATCTAATTTTAATTGTATTTGCTAGGTAAAAACAATTTTATTTGTAAAAAACAATTTTTACACTTAGAGTGACTATGTGAGTAATGACTAGAAACTCACATATCTGGAAATATACACATTTTAAAAGTGAAATTAAGAACTATTTTAATTATTCTTAATCTTAATATATAATTTAGGTGCATTCCCTAGATAAAAAACAAATTTATTTATAAAAAAAATCTTCATTCATTTTTCTTGTTTACAGCAATTTTATTTCGTGATTGGTGTACTACTGGCTTACTAGAAAACCCTTACAAAAAAATTCAACTTCATAAAACGAAACTGGCAACTATTTTTTTTTTATTTTTACTCGCTATTTTGTTGTTAACTTAATGTTACCATAAAAAGTTTTTTTTTTAAACTGAAACAAACATTTATTTCAGACAGCATGTCGTATTTCCTTTTTTTTCTTCTCTCTTTTGTAAACAAATAGATTTCATTTCACATTTATTTCCTAAAAGTAATCAAATTCAAATATTTTTATATTTTTGTTCAATTTTTTCTCTTACAATAATGTAATTAACATCTGAAAATCTTTTTCAATAGTGTTTCTTTGGATATGGTCACTCAGTAGTGACTTTTTAGCACTTAAAAACCGAACAATTTCAGTTTCATAAAAAAAAGTTTCGATGTGGTTTCACAGTGTGAAGATAAAACCGAAAAAAGTTGGTTTTTCGGTTAAACTGCCAATTTCTACATCTGACATATATGAAGACGTGGCAAATTATTTAAATAAAATATAAATCACATGTAGAAAATATGTTGTACTTCTAATGAATGTTGGTTACCGGGGAAAAGTGTAAAGTGAAAGGAATAGAACATTTTGAAATTTACAGAAAAATGTTAAAATCAAGAGATTAAAAAGATTATTAGTGACAATTGGTGACATGATTACGTATTTAGACAATTTCAAGTGTAGATAATGTAGTAATGAGAATAATTGCCATATTTGCCAACATATAAGATAACATTTTTTTCAAAAAATATTAATGGTATTATTACGGATGGGAGGTCAAGTATGGGTTCAACTTGAGATAAATTGCAGGGAAGTATGCGTTGGCTGACAGATATTATGGGAACTGAACTGTTGATTTTTCAGGTGTATGTACTGATCATAAAATTCTCCAATATCTATTCCTTGTTTCAGATCACATTTAATCCCCAAGGAACTGCTATTTTGACTGCATCTTCAGACAAAACAGCTCGAATATGGGATCCAGAAACTGGAAACTGCAAACAAATACTTGAAGGACACACAGATGAAATATTCAGCTGTGCTTTTAACTATGAAGGAAATATAATTATTACAGGTAAATTATTCTTTGTTAAATACCAGTCTTTTTATTGTTTAATAATTAAATTAAGCTATATTGTTGGGGATGCGCAGAATGAACTAAGGATTTTGCTATAGCATTAAAATAAATCAGAAGGAATTTTTTATGTCAGGTTGCGTGATCTTTTCTTACATCCACAACAATAAATCTTGATATAAACAAGGCAAAAACATGCATGCAATTCAAAACCAATAAATGCATTTATATACAAATAAAAATATTATATACAAAATATTTTAGAAGATGTTAAATGTGTTGGTATGTTCGTAGTATTTGAAGGTTTTGTATGTCCTTTTTTTGTCTTGTGTATCTGTATTACAGCCTTTTAGAAAATTGTAATTAGTGTTTAGAATGTCGTTATTATATTTTTAGAATTGAGTCATTCAAAAGTAGTCTACCTTTAACTGTAAATGTTAAGTTAGTTCGATAATGGTATTTACTTAAAATGGTAGTGAGTGTTAATAATTCACTTTAGATAAGTAAAGTCTTGCGGGTAGAAGTTCTTTGTATTCAGAGTAATCTTCGAGTCGAGCTTGTGAGTTGTGGTTTCGTTTGCGCGGGAAAATTATAATCGCAAGTGACGTGGATTAGATTAGCGTTTCTCTGTGTTTGATGGACTGACTGATTTATCGTAGATGATCAAAGAGAATGTATAGTTTGAGATTCTTGAATGACGAAGAAGTTCGTAGAAGATATTGAACGGGAAAGATTTGTCGTCTCGATTGGCGAGACGTGAATTGTAGCCGTCACATTTTTAAGCTTGAGTAAGCGATCGAAAAATGGTCTGCTTGGTCACACGTGCTTTGGGTTCTTTTTAAGAGGTCATGATCATGTGGGTGGATCCAGAACAATTTTGCGCCAAAACTTCGAAGTGCACGTGTGGGCGACCTGATTGGTAGAAATGAACCAATCAGAGGGCTAGATTTACGAATGAAAGTTGGAATAGTACATTACTTGAAGAAGGTAAGATTGGGCTAATAGACGAGCCCAATAATATTATTGAAAACTATTGTAATTTCATATATGTCTTAGTAACACATAGAAATGTTTATTCATACACAGGAAATACTTTTTGTCGCTTGAGGATATTCCAGAGGATATTGTTAACTCACATACAGAATACTTTTTAAAGTGAAAGGGAAGCCCATTAACATAGTTATTATTTTTGTATATGCACTGGCAGAGAAAGAAACTGATAACTTTTACAGCTCATTAGATAATACTAAGGTTCAATGTAAATCACAAGAAATCATCATTGGAAACCTGAATGCCAAGGTTGGAAAAGAAAAAGAAGGTGAACTAGTTGGCAAGTTCAGACTATGAACACAAAACATGCATGGCAAAGATGGGTCCAGTGGTGCAATGCAAACAATCATATAATTACCAACACCTGGTTTCAGGAGCACTCAAGATACATGGATAATCCTGGGAGGAGACATGAAGAACCAAACTGATTATGTAACTATTAACAAATGGTTCAGAAAAACAGTTTTACATTGTAAAACATACACAACTAGAAACTGCAGGAGTAACCATCTCCCATATCTCCCATATCTCTCCATATGTTTTGTCAGAATAAAACTACAGGAACTAAATATTGGTAGGCTAAAGAGGAATGGCTCAATAAAAAGTGCATGGAAATAGAAAGGATGTCCAACACAAATAAAGCAAGTATGCACAACAGAATAAAAGAATTAACTGAACAATTAACAGGCTCTATAAAATCAAAGGAAAGATCCCTGATATTAGAAATGGAAAAAAATACTCCAAAGATGGAGTGAATATGTCAGAATATTTTTCATGATGAGAGAGAAATGCTTAAAAATATGGACGAACTGAAAATATTAAAGTCTGAAGTATGATCTGTACTGGAGAAGATGAAGAGGAACAAAGCACCAGAGCCTGTGATGGGATCATAACAGAAATGCTATAAGCCTTAGCTGATTTCAGTATCAACAAGATCATATATATAATAAAGGAAATATACAACAGTGCCAACATAAGGAGTACCACAGTAAGTCCATTTTCGTAGCATTACCTAAGTAAACAATGCAAACTCCATTGGATACTCAGCTTAATGAGTCATATAACCAAGTCAATCTTGTGAATCTTGGTGGATAGAGCATGAAATAGAATTAAATTGTAATTAGGACAAGAACAGTATAGTTTTGTCAAGGATACTGCTACAAGAAATATGATATTTATGATTAGAATGATATCAAACAGAGCAATACAAATGCAGAAGAACGTTTTGTAGATTATGCAAAAGCATTTTCTATATGGAAAGGATATTAAAACAATCTAGAATTTATACTGGGACCAAGGCTGTGTTTTCTCTCCAGAGAAACTATCCTGGAGGAGCTGAGGACTCCTGCCAGGATTTATATTTGGTGGACTTAATCTTAACAATATAAGATATACAAAAGACACTGTTGATTTCTAACAAAGAAAGAAAACTACAGAACCTCATAGACAAGGTAGTAAAGAAAAGCAAGAAAAAAAGGACTAGCCATCAATTGTAAAAAGACAAAGTATGTTTATCAACAGTTAAAAAAGTCCAAGATGTGAACTATGAATTGGAGATGTCATATCCACTCAAGTACAGAAGTTTAGATATTTTAACAGAGGACGGAAAATGTAGCACCAAATTACAAACATGCCTTTCAAAAGCTAAACAAAGTACTAAGAAACAGAAAAACTTTGTTAGAAATAGAGAAAAGAGTGCTGAACTGATATATAATATTGATCGTCCTGTATGACGAAGAGAAACAGGAGGCAACAGAAATGTGGTTCTACAGAATGATACTGATAATTCTATGGATGGAGCAAAGTAAGCAATGAGCAATACTTAGAAAAATAGTAACAGAATGAATACTTATACTGAGAATCAGAACGAAACAGCTGATGTTTCTTGGACATATAATGAGGATATGGAAGGGGCTTGAAAAACTTAATCCTCCCCAGGGCATATTAAAGGCAAGAAAGATAGATGAAGGCTGTGAACCACCTACTTGTATGAATGGATGTTAGTGAGGGGAGTCTTGAGGAAGAAATAAAAACTGCTAAGGGACAAAAAGAATTTGGAAGTTGTGGAGAGTCATGATCGCATATGTATTGAAGAGATGCAACACAGAAGAAAATTCCAGTATTTACCTGTGTTTAAAGCACTGATCTCTGTTATTGATAGTAAATATATGATTATTTCATTGATAGTTTATTCTTTAACATCTTTGATTTAAGGATAAAAAGCAAAAAGAAAAATGGAATAAAAGAAGGAACAGGAAAAAATACACAAAAGAAAATGCAGAAAGGGAAAAAAGCAAATAAAGTAAAAAATGAGAAAAAAAGACAGAAAAAGGATCTGAGATGTGAAAAAGTTAAGCATGAGAAATGCAAAAAATAAAAAAAAAAAGCAGGGAATGGATAAAAGCAGAAAAAAGGAAAATGTGCAAAAAGAAAACATAGGAAAAGGAAATTGACAAAAAAAGAAGAGAAAGAAAAAAGAAGAGAAAGAAAAAAGGCAGGAATAAAAAAGCAGAAAATGAAAAACAATAAAAGAAAACAATTAAAAGTAGAAATAAGAAGAAAATAAAAATTATTTGCAGACAAATTTAGAGAGAGAGGCATTTCTATACTGTCAGATATGTTATCTAAAAAGCAACAGTCCTGAAAAGAAGATGAACAATAAAAGAAGAAAAGATAACTAACAGAGTTTAATAGCAAAAGTTGGAAGCACATATAAGAAGAATCTGAAGAGCCAATTCCCTTGCCATTGGGAGATTTTCTCTAATATAGACACTAAAGTCATGCATATGCATCATAGAATCCTTTTGATGAAGAGAGAGATAGCCAGGAATAGAGAATTCAGTGGTAGAGATTGAGGAGTTTAAGTTAGTTTCACAGAGCACTAGAATATCTGGAGAGTGGTCAAGGAAAAAAGATTCTACACTGCAGAAATTGATTTAAGAAAAAAAAGGTTGAGGTGCTTAGGTATTTTTTGCAAACTGGTTTTATTTTTCAGATATTATAGCCAAGACACCTTTGCCCCAGGGTCGGTTCAAACAGGATGCATTAACACTTGACTTCAATTGTTGATTCACAACCTTTAACTTTTCATCATTTGAAATGACCTCCATTTCTTTTTATAAAATGAAAACTTGTAAGTTTTTTAAAAACTAAAACCTCATTGCTCCCAAATTCAGAATTTATATTTTATGCAGCTTAATTTTGGCTCAGTTATGAACTCCTGCAAGTATAAAATATGAAAATCTTTTTTCATGATTTTCTATATTTGCTTTAAAAATGTACTTAAAATTAATGAAATGACCTTTTTGCTATCATTTAATTCAAACATAATTTATCATGTGATAAATAATATTTATCATTTAATATCACTACATATTAATATCTTGTATTTTTGAAAAACAATAAAAGTATAAACAAAATTGGCTATTTGATGTTGAAGAATTTGATAAATGAAATTGTTAATTATTATTTACACTTTGTTATACTCCCACACTTTCATTTTAAATAAAATATTTATTTTAATATTTTCAGGTAGTAAAGATAACACTTGCCGAATATGGCGGTAGGTCACTTTGAAAATGAGCAAGAGAACCTGTGAAAATAAACATTGATTTCATCCCAGATAACACTAACATATACACTTGACATATGTGAATCAGCATTATTCCAGTTAATAAGATTTTCATCATGAAAAAAAAACATTCATATTTACTTCAAATGAAATCATAGAATTGAGTAGAAATTTAGATTTATAAACATCTCTAACTTTGTTTCCTTTCTGATCAATTTTCTCATTTAGAAAAATATATTTCCACAATTCATATCTTTTGTGGTTTGCTTTTCAACAAGTTGCAGATGCTGAAAGGATTGTCATGTTATTGTTATATATATTTCTGTTTTAATCCTCAAAGCAAAATAATTCTAAAAATATACTGTAATTTTAACTTTTCTATTTCTAATACAAGACTATTTGTAATTTTGAAGTAAATATGGTCTAAGTTGAATTGTTTAATGTTTTTCTATTAAAATGAGTGACACTTGATAAACATTACTTTGTCAGCTGCTTTCTGAGATTGAATTTTGAAGGACAAATAAAATCTTACAATAAAGATAAAAATATGTCAAAAGCTACCTAGATTAAATGTTTATTTATTTTTTATACTAAGTGGTTTTTTGCTGAATGTATATAAATATATTTAATATACAAATTATACTTCTTAATGATAATTTATAAGACTCAGTGAGAAATTATTTTGTGTTTACATACTCATAGAAAGTATGTTGTTGAAATTAGTTTTAAAAGTTTTTCCTTATTGAATACAATTTATGATAATGTGTAATAAATCACTTCATATTAATCATCATATGCAAATCAGTACATAAACAGATTCAGTTTGATACCAGAATCCAAGGAAAGAAATGTTTATCTACACCTAATAAACTCCTCAAAGACCTATTTGAAATACTAGAAAAGCTTGATTTACATGGGAAATATATTCGAGCAATTCAAAACCTATACTGGAAAGAAATAACCTGTATGTATATAAATAAAAAGTGATAATACAAAAATAGAAAAAGCATTAAGACAAGGATGTATTTTCTTACTTGATTTATTTAAACTATGCAGTGAGACAATCCTAAGAGAACTAGATGACCTACCAGGATTTATTATCAGTGAATATAATTTTAACAACATGAGATACCCAGATGACAGCAGACTCAGAAGGAAAACTGAAAAAAGTCTTAGACAACATTGTAAATGAGAGTTATGATAACTGTAAATACACAGAATGTAGGTAGTCAGCCCAAGTCGTTACCTACAGGGGATGTCAAATTCAAGCAGATACAGAAATTTAACCATCTGAGTAGTTTAGTAACAGATGAGGGGAAATGTAACATAGGTACATAGGATTAGTGAAAGAAACCTTCTAGAAACTAAGCAAAGTATTAAGGCATAGGAAAATATCATTAGAAACAAAGAGTGCTAAACCACTATAATATCTAACCTCTTATACATCAGTGAAATCAGTGAAAAATTTAACACAAATAAAAACCAACTTGAGCTTACGGACAATGAACAATGATAAAATGTAGATATTGAAACTATAAACATGAATCAAAGAGTAAGAAATGTCCAGCATGGGGACAGACATGTAATAAGTGCAAAAAGAAAAAATCACTTTCAAGTCATAAATAGATGGTGAGATACCAATGTAAAAATTGTTAAAATAATACAGGATGATGTAAAAGTCAAACATTTTTTCAATAGAAAAGAGAAACAAAAAGAACACCTTCATAAATATTAAATTAAACAGTGTAGACTTAAAAATGCAAGTTGACACTGGAAGCGAAATGACCTTTATTCTGAAGAAGTTTTGGTAACAATTATCAAAACCAAAATTAAAGAAAAGCTTAGTAAGATTAAGACAGTTTGATGGAATGTGTATAAAAATATTAGGGTCCTTTCAAGGCATTTTTAAAAAAAAAAAAGATTTGAAAACGTGACTATTATGGTCTTGACTGTATAAAAAGTCATGGTTTAGTAGGAACTGATTTGATAAATATTAATAGCACATGTTTACTTAATGCTATGAATACGAGACTAGTACTAGTACACACCAAACAGCCCTCATTAAATTAAAAGAAGCTCTATCTAAAAAACCCATGGTCAAGATTTTTTACCCTAAAAAGGTTGTTACATTAAGCACAGATGTGAGTGGCCAGTCTGTATTGGCACTTTTGTCCTAGGAAGGACACCTGATGTTGTATCTTTCCAGCACATTGACACCAGCTGAATTGAACTACTCTAATATTGAAAAGAAAGCACTTGCAATTGTATGGTGTATAACCAGAGCAAGACAATTTTTATTAGAAAAAATTTTTTGTTGAGGTCTGATCATAAACCCTGAGAATTTATATTCCATCCTAGGAAGGAATTGCCAAAACTTACAACATCCAGAATATTAAGATGGGCTATGAAGTTAATGGCTTTTGATTATGATATAGAATATGTGAAGGGAAACACAATACCACACATAGACATATTGATTTGACTACAATTTGAAAAGAACAAGATGAAACAAAAAAAGTTGATGAATTTGTGCATTGGGTGGAAACGGATGTGTTGCCCATCAATAGACTAGTTATGGAGAAGTTACAAGATTCAATCTTAAGTAAAATTTTATCTAGAATAAAGACAATAAATTGAGTATTTGTTCAAAAGCAGAAAGACCATACAAAGAAACCAGATACAAACTATCAATAGAAAATGGTCATGTCCTACATAATACTAAAAAGACTATGTCTAGACAAATTACCACTGAATATGAACCAAATGCTAGCACCAGTACCAACAAGGATAGATATCAATAAGCTGATAGAAGTAGCAGTATTATGCTCATCATAACAATAGACTAATACATTCCTTACATGCAACAGGAAGAAATAATGAATCTTAAATGAGCTGTCTATGAATTGAAAATGTAGATGAAATGTTTACTTTTATTTATTTTTCTTTACCTATCAATATTATTACCTATCCACATCTATCTAACTCAATCTTTTCCTATGTATCTATTTGTTTCACTGTCTTTATTCTTCACTGTTTGTATCTAATTGTTGGGCAAAACACTAGACAGTTCATTTTCACAATTTGATAGGACAATTTTTTTCTTCTTTCTCATCAGACAGTTTGACTCGGTAAGTATGTGGTGATTTGAATACAGTCACTGCTACTTTGACATATAGGTGACGTTACAGCAAGCCTACAAGGATCAACCATTTTCTTTTTCTAAGCTGGATCTTGTACAAGCTTACCACTAAGTACCAGTAGCAGATGAGTATATACATAAAACAACAGTCACAACACCGTTTGGACTGTATGACTTTATAAGGATTCCATTTGAACTTTGTAATGCAGTGCAGACATTCCATTGGTTCATAGACAAGGTCTTTCATGGTTTAATCTCTATGCATTCATGGATGATATACTTATTACCAGTGCAAACAACTCAGAGCATTTGAAGCATCTTCACAAAACATTTACCAAAATAACTCAGTATGGACTGAGAATTAATCCTGAGAAATGTATTTTGGATGCTAAGCAACTAAATTTCTTAGACCACACAATCTCTGAGGAAGACATCTAACCCATCCAAGTTAAAGTAGATGCCACTGCAAAATTCCCAACACCAAAGTCAGTTTGACAGCTGAGAAGATTCATCAGACTTATTAATTATTACAGGAATTACATTCTACCATTTTATCTTCACTTACCACCTTATTAAAATAATAATAAGGACATAAACTTAAAATTTGGAATATTTTCAATCAGTAGAACAAACAAAAAAGACCTTAATAAACTACATCTGGCTCAATTATTTAAGTGAAGATGGTAACTGCAAGTTGACATTGTTGTGAGTATACTGGTTGTGTTTAGTTAGAAAACACATGTCTCCTGGTATATTTTTCTCACAACAATTATTGTGGACTCAAATGTGAGTCCAAGTAATAAATGAATAAGATAACAACAAAACTATATACAAACAAATGACAATGTATGTATTAACAAAAGTATACATAGATAATAAAAGAAGAAAACATTTAAACTAGAAAATGTGTATATGTAGTTTGTGTAGGAGAAATTCGAGAGAAAAGTAATTGAAAGTGAATGTGTTTGTCCCATTGGGGAACCCATTTTTACCACATGCGAACTACATCTTATTGTTTAAGAGAAAATGACTGAGCTTTTTAGTAAAGTTAAGTGGGGTAACCCATATCATTAATAAAAGATGCATCAACAGTGCCAAAATGATTACCACTCGAAGGAACTAGAGTAGCTTTTCCAACAAACTTTTGACCATCTGTTTAGTGAAAAAGAATTTTCAGCACATTCTGTTTCTACAGATCACAAATCTTTTAACAAAAGCACTATACTTACTACCAGACATCAGACCAATATTTACCAAAGAGTTAGGACAATTAGATTATATTTAGCAGTTCAATTCAGACATCAAATGTGTCTCTGATACCCTATCAAGAACAAAAATTCATCACACAGACTTAGCAGATTTCAGCTATGAGTTCATAGCATATGAACAAAAGAAAGACAGCACAATAATTAATAAAGCAGTACATGGGGTGTTACTTCAGTTGAGAGAGTTACCTACACTTTTTGTGATACATTCTTCTCTATGTAAGGTTATTTTTTCAACATTTTCATGGGATATCACCCCCAAGTATAAGAGCTACTGCCAAAATAATAACAGACATGGACCTGGACAAAATTTGCCTAGCATGTCAACAAAATAAGGTTACCAGGCATACTAAAATACTTATTAGTACATTTAAGTAATCCAGATACAAGGTTTGCTAATTTGAATATTGATCTGGTAGGACCACTCACATCATCTTGAGGCTATTTTGATAGTAGTAGATCAATAATCTTGATGGCCAGCTGCATATCTGATTGAAAATACAAGTGCTAAAATAGTGAAGACATTGTTTGATCAGTGAATCATACAATTTGGCGTTCCTTCCATAATCACCACAGATCATGGGTCTCAAT